TGTTCTCCAATCTAGGGACCATGGTTTTGCTCTTTACATAGTATATTTCGATTTCACTAAGGCTTTTGACCGTGATGACCATGCTCTTCTTCTCTTGAAATTGTCCTCTTTTGGAATAGGTGGCAAACTTTTGAATTTTATATCCTCTTATTTGGGCACTCGCACACAACGAGTTAAGATTTCCAATGCCATCTCCAACCCCACACGTGTGAGGAGTGGAGTCATTCAGGGTAGTGTACTCGGCCCGCTTTTATTTTGCCTTTTCGTTAATGATGTACCCGATTTATTTCAGAATGGTAGGCCTTTCATGTATGCCGATGAGCTTAAAGTTGCATATCGATATAAGCCGGCAGATCATGACATCGTGCTTGAGCTCCTAAAGAGCGATCTACAGGCTTTCGCCCAGTGGTGTCGCGCATGGCGCCTTTCTCTTTCTTGGCATAAGTGCTCAGTCATGGTGGTTGGCGACGACCGCCAACCTCAACTAAGTATTGAAGGTCACGCCATAAATGTGCCTGGGGTTATGAAGGATTTGGGCGTATCATACTCCAACAGTCTCAATCTCTCGGAGCACTGTGCCTTGATAGTCTCCAAAGCACGTAGAACGGCCGGGTTTATCCTCCGAAATTTTAAAACTAGGGACATTAGAATGCGCCTTTACAACATGTACGTTGGACCTGGTCTGGAATACTGTTCGTTTTTATTTAGCCTCATGCGTGCTACTGAGCGGAAGAAAATAGAATCCGTTCAATACTTTTTTACCAAGAGAATTTTAACTCCGGAACACCGACATTTGTCTTACCAAGAACGTTGCAAGCTTACAGGCCTCGATCTTTTATGGTTCCGTAGATTACAAAAGCGGCTATTTTTGCTATTTAAACTCTTTTATAATCACACATTTAACCCACTCACCTCTTTAAGATATCATATCCACCCACGACGTAACAGTCACCGTGAGGTATTTTTATTTCTGCCTCTGGCACGTTCTGTTAAATATCGTCGGTTCTTTTCTGTAAATGCAATTGCTATTTGGAATAAACTACCAATGAGTGTGAGAACTCTGCAAAATTATCCTTTATTTAGGAGAACTATTACTCGATTTTTGCATTCAGAAAAGCTCCCACAAATTTTGGGTGCTGAAAACTCTGATCGACTGTACCGTAGCGATGGCGTTTGTGGTCTCTGAACACTATGGCCGGTCTCACCAGCTGTTCCTCAACGCCTCTACTTTGGCTATCCCCAACTTCATGAAAGGAATTTGACGTCCGATAATCTCCGATACCGTGCAACCCCCCCCCCCCCCCCTTCTTGACGGTCGATATTCTACCACCGCCGGAAGTTTTTTCTCCTGAGCCCTCCAAACCATAAATACCACCATCAACTATATTTTTATCCCTTTAGCTCAGGAGTTTTTTTCACTGCTGGTCGGATTTATGTTTAATCGCTTCCCTTGACAATGCCTGTAAACTGGAATTAAATAAAAAATTTATTTATTTATTATTTATTTATTTAAACATACAATAGAATCTTAATTTAATTTCGGGGAGATAGAAAGTGTAAGAAATAAAGCCACAAATCTGGGCAGCTTTGGCCGTAATTCTGTCAGCGTGCTGCGAGAGATCAAGATTACTAGTGTAGCTTAAACCTAAATCCTTGATGCTGGTACATTCAGTCATAGGTGTGCCTTGAAAGACCACTGGTTGGAGTAGCCTCTCGGGTCCAAAACACATATAGCGACATTTAGACGGAGAGAATTCCATAAGCCACTTTGAGCTCCAAGCTGTGAGAGCAAGCAAGTCAGCATGGAACTGCTCCAGGCAATGAGGGCAATGTGAAGAATGTACACATTTGAGATCACCGGCATAAATAAATGATTGGGAATATTTAACTGTCGCCGAGGTATCATTTATGTAAAGCAAGAACAAAAGAGGACCTAAAACGGTGACTTGTAGGACACGGCTTATAATAGGACTTTCACTGGAAAGTGAAGATCCCACTAAATCCTTTTGTTTACGATTAGACAGGTATGACCTGAGAAAGTCTATTAGTGGACTGCGAATTCCCATTGCTTCCAATTTAACCAAGAGTCTTTTATGTGGCACTTTATCAAACGCCTTAGTAAGATCAAAATGAATAACGAAAACAGATAGATGGTCATTACAAAGAGAAGCAAATAGATTGAGAAATGACAAATGACATGTTTCACAAGAGCGATCTGGTAAAAACCACGCTGGGAAAGCCTTATACCTGGATTGGCTATGCAAAAGTCGGTAAATTTAAGGCGATAAGTTTTTCAAAGGTTTTAGCGAGAGAAGGTATTTTATGGGCACATCAATAATTCTGAACGTCAGAACGACAGCCAGAATTAAATACTGGAATAATAATAGAAGTTTTCCAATAGTCAGGAAAGAAGCCATTTATGAGAAATACTGAAAAGATTTTGCTAAGCAGAGGAGGAAAATCTCAGCCGTTTTATAAGGGAATTTGGGATATTGTCCGTGCCTACTGAGTGAGAGCTATGAAGATGGTTTAGCAGTTTTTGAATAGTTTCAGGAGAAGAATAAATGATGCTGAGAGATGCATCAGACAGCGGAGGAATTAAAGGGATTGGGTCAGTTTCAATGGTGAAATGTTTGACAAAGAATGAAAGCAACTTTTCTGCCTTGCCTGACTCTTCTGTAACGAAGGTATCGTTGGTACTAAGCAAAGACGGAATGACCTGGTGGGATTCGGCAGATGATCTCTAACGGAAGATCTTAGAAACTGACTTAGAAGCCTTCATGTCATTAATAGCTAAAGACTCTCTACGCCTATCTCGCGCGAATCTCATTTTCGAAGCTAGTTCAAATATTTCAACGATTCGTAAGTGAACTGATAATGAGCTCACAGAAGGATCTTTGAGCCGCTTCTGTAGCTTTTTAAGTCTGTTTTTAAGAAAGTGTGGAACAGCGGTGTAGTTGACACTCGATTTGAACGTCTTCCGAGGAATAAGGTCAGGAAGACCTCCTGTTACGCATTGTAATCAATTATTGAAAAAATTTAGGTCATAATTTGAAAAAATATTGTGCCATTCAAGTGGGCTTGTAAAGTATCTGGTGAACGCAAAATTTGATCTTTGTAACGACCTTACGTCCATGATGCACAGAATCGGGTCCCTTTTCTCACGTAGACTCACACCTTTTCAGTCACATCCTCAATAACTCGGTCATAATACGAGTAGTCGTGAGGATTTAGCTAATCCTACTCCTGCGACTTCTGACTCCCCTACTGCTACATCTCGGCCCACTCAGGCCACTCGACGCATTTGCCTGCCTCTAAATTAGCTGCAATAGCCCCAGCTGTCATTCCTAATCCTGCGGATAGCCCCAGAGCGCATGAAAATTCGTCTACATCAGCTTGACCGATAGCTGTTCCATTTCAACAGGGTCCTGTGAGCTCAACCGTTAAGTCCCATGTGGCATGGCGTCAGGACGGTGAAATTTCTAAACTTAATCGGTGTGTGACCCAAAAGAAAGGTAGCACTATTGAATCTAGGGGTATGCCGCCTTCTGTTAGATCTACCAAGCCATTACAGCCCAGCTCGTCTACAAACCCCGCAGCTCCAATTATGCCCTCAAATAATCTTCTGTCCTGCGTATCGTTTACTTACCAAAGCCCTACTATATATTCAGTAAATAATGCATACGTGAATTGCTCTAAGTCATTTATTCCCTACCTAGACACGATTCCCAAGGAGTTGTCTAGTGTTTTCTTTGCAGAACATCTTGATGCTGAAGCCAAACCAGTCCCTTTCTGTCGTTCACTTTCAGAAGTGACACCGTACAATCGATGTCTCCTCAGATCTTATTAGGAAACACGTAAGTCGTTTGAAAAACTCACACTTCTCAGGAACGGACGGGGTCCCAAATTCGATTATTAAACAGGCATTGAACCTTCCCATATTGCTAATTAATTTATTCTCTGTTTATATATCGAACGGCTTTCTCTCTGAAACATGGAAGACGTCAATTATAATTCCAGTCTACAGGTCTGAATCTCGGACCGATGTTAATAACTATCGGGGCGTGCACAAAAGACCGTCTCTAGCAAAACCTCTTGAAGTAAAAATTTTCAATGAATTTTTTGACTTCTGTCTAGCTTACCATCTTCTGGACTCTGGTCAGCATTGATTTTTACCAGGACGATCCTGCGAAATTTGTCACTTGGCCTTTAAGGCGAAGAATGTCGCCTTGCAATCTTAAAGAACATTCGGGACGCCATCCACGCCACAGACCTCCGAATCACTTCCGAATTCCAACAGGCATGACCAAAATAATGCCCACGAGCTGTCTGCTATTGTGTCGTGGTAGTCAAGGTAGGAAGCATGCATGGGAACCCATCGATCACAACTGGATTCATAAATATGCTCACCTGTCTATGCGATGAAGCCCACATTTCTCCGTACCATTCTATCCCTGTCACCGTCTTTGATAAGTTAGAATTAAATGAAGGTGCATATTAAAGCATTCATAACCCTGCAAAACAACTAAGTATGGTCTGGTTTTATTCCTAATTTCATATACGATTTTGTTTTTTGTGAGTCTTTACTATGTCTTCCATCGGCCGTTTTAAATGTCATTTGTCGCTGCAACTTATGCCCCTGCAGTCTTTTAGTTAATCTCTTAACCTATTTCTATAGTGAGTATTACATTGCTTGGTCTATGTGTATGCCCTCGCTCATCTCAGCCGAGCCCTGTCCCATAATCTCGTTACAAGTTTGATAGTGCTAAAAATTCGCAGTTTTATGCGTAACGTCATTACCACTACAAGTTTTTACCGAAAGGTCGTATAAAGTTCGGAACTTGTAGGGCTTGAATTCGACATCAGGTATCCGGACTTTGCTGCCTTGGATGCATCTGAGCATTACAAAATCCCCCAAAAATGTTGAACAATCTGCACGTGTAAATTAGCCTGTTAGGCCGATTTCGTTAGCCTCCTGTAACACTGTCATTCCTGGCGTAATGCTCGCGCTATATGTTTCTACCGTCAGTGGCAACAATACTGTATGCAACATTCCGTCGTTTTAATGTTTAACAGATCCGATCTCGCCAACAATACATACAGAACATTCTTGATTCGTTAAAAATAGAATATGACACCGTCGACATTGCGGCAGTTGAGGAGGCCAAAAACAAAATGCGAAAGGCGTTAGAAAATGCCGGAAAAAAGGAGTTCCTTCCTCCACAACTTTTCTGTGGTGATGAGTATCTCGGTGTAAGTCTTCTTTTTTCTTGTTTGCAACCTTTCCCCATATAGCAGCAAAAGACAAATTAAAGGATAGCCCTCGGTAGTTGTTTTTTAATCCGATGCAGACGTGTGCAATGGCAACCCCCAACTATTGTCAGTTGCCTAAGCATTTTCAGACAGTCCTTTGTTGGAGCGATCCAATAAGTTCTGTCTAACTATTTACATTTACGGAGTTTCTCAGAACTTGGAAGATTTTTCGTAGAAAATTGAAGCCTGCAGTGAGGCAGTAAAACCGACCGCTTCTTTCCAAGTGGCGTTTATGTTGCATTTTCAGTAACGTCACAATAGCGCATTAGCCTTTATCGCTCGATAATTTCGGGTTTAATCCCGGGTAACTTCCTCAATTACTTCGGAAACGTCCCTAACCATCATGTCCCTTCCACAAACTGCAGCTTCAACACTACCAATAAGTTCTTTGGCTACGCGCTGTTGGCAAGAATTTGTCTGACCGGTCAGCTGAGAAGAATACGAGAATCACCCAGGATTTAATAAACTACCTCTAGAGTAGTTTGAGTACATTGTTGTTTTTAAGACTGGCGACGGGAGTTTCCAAACGCCTAAAATGTGAGGGTTCGTGCCTTTTAATCAACAGTATGGGACAACATTTGAGAGGCAGCACTTGGGTTCAACAGACACATTATCAGGTGCCCTGATCTCTTTGTCCTCATTCAGGGCTTAATCTCCAAATGACTGATTTGATTGCGCCGCCAAGGCATAGTAGAATAGACATTACTAGTCCTGCACAACGCCTTGTATGTTTTTGGAAGATACGGACAAAGCCTCTAGTTCAAACTATTAGTAATGATTTACCCGTAAGTCTTCCGACGAATAGGGACTCCCGCCCGTCTTATGCGCATCCCTGGTTTCGTCCCCAAACCCTTCAATGCACTTTTAGTTTAGATAAAAAGCGGATAAGCTTCACAATGACAAGGCATATTTAGAAGGCGCATTTTTCCATTTCGAGGGAACCGGTGGCCGCAGCGTCTACAAGAATTAGCAGTATGTGAATTTACGAAATAAGCACGACTCACCATCCCACTGCGTACCCACCAGCTTACTGGAATTTATTCGATGTGTGCGTACAGATTAACCTTATAATGGGTTTATGCTAGTTTGCAGGTCAGGCGGTGGAGTTGGGTCGTTCAGTACTCTGTTCGTAGCTATTAATACCTGTTCTCATCCTGTATATGTCGGCGAAACGTCGACTTGGTCTTGTTGTTTTGCCTACAGACCTGGTCTTCGTCTCAACGGCATACCTATTATCTTCGAGCACCAACAAGCACCTGCCTGGAGAAGACCAAATATTATGCTAAAACTAGGCGGACAATCAGAGTTTCTGACCACTTGTTCTGCAAGACGACTCCCTTAATATTTGCGAAAACTGTTCCTTCGCCACTTTCACATCTTTTTAGTGCTATATTTTAGTCGTCTTTCAAAAAAGCAAACATTAAACTCGTAAGTTAATTGCGCACAAAGCCACTCTCAGTACGTTGTTTAGCATTTATTTTGGATTCCATTGCAAGTGATGCACCGCAGGCATATGACTGTCACCTTACCCTTGTCTTATTTTGGCCTACCCTTCAGGTTAATAATATCCTACTGTATCGCATTTCAGCATTTTCTGCTAATCAGTTCCATTTCTGTTTCTGTAGGACTACAATGACTTCTATGATGCCAATGAAAATGAGAGAATTAGAGAATTTCTAAAGCTCCCGGTAAGCCCTCTTTGGTTTTCGGTTACCCCCATCTTTATCTCTTCTAGCAGCCTGATAAGAATTAATTTCCTTTCCGGCCCGCTTGTGGTTTTGCTGAGATTGTCGCTTCTTCCAGCCTCTGCCGTTTGACAATTCCACTTCTCCGTCAACATTCCTCCAAATCGCGCTTCTTTTGTCTTCTGCCCCTACGATTTCGCTGCCTTGTTTCATATTTAGCATTCCATTTCTTTAATAAGAATTCGTCCAGTCTTTCATCCTTCTATAAAAGTTGCTGGTTTCCTCACATTCCAATTTATGACTGCTACAGCACACAACTATATGGTTGCTGCATTCTGTTTGCCAAAATCAACCTCTTCAACCTCCTGTGCTTCCTTTCATCTGGCCGTTCAATGTCGTTATGTACCTTGGCTTCCTCTTTTAATATATGTATGATTCGTAAGTTTTTCGCCTCAAATTATCCGTTTTTCACATCTCTTCAAATTCTTAGAGTTTTGATGGCCTGTTGGGATTTGTCGTACCGTAAGATCCTCCAGGTTGCTTTGGAAGGTGTTCTGCATTGTTAACTCTGGTTAGTGGTGATTAACCCGTAAGTCTTCCGACGAATATGGGTTCCCGCCCGTCTTCTGCGCATCTCTGGTTTCGTCCCCAAACCCCTCAGTGTACTCTTAGTTTAGATAAAAAGCGGAGAAGCTTCGCAATGACGGGGCATATTAAAAAAATTTTTCCCACTTCGGGGGAGCCGGCGGCTGAGGCGTCTATAAGAATTATCTGTATGTGAATTTACGAAGTAATAACGATTCACCAGCCCACTGCTTACTCACCAGCTTACTGGAGTTTATTCGTGGTGTGCGTACTAGCTGTCTCCGCACCGCGGTGCATGCCTGCGCCACGTGCTTCGCGGTCACCAATTTTTCGTTCGCCGAACTCGAAGAGGCATTGTCACTACCATGGAGGGTTGACATGCCTGTGACTTGCGTTATAGACAGCTGAGTCTTCGCACTTTTGACCTTACTCTTTTCAAAATCATCTTTTTCCAATAGCCAAGACGGTCCTAGATGCTATGACTGTGTTGACGGTGGTAACACGGAATGGAAGTCAAGACCGGGGGGATTAACCATTAACAAGAGGCATCGCAGTGGCAGTTCTTTATATAGGAATGTGGTCAAAACTCTCATGAGGTCGCGCCGAACATCCGGGCAGGTGGCGAGTCACTTTCAATGCGTGAGACAAAACGTTTTCAAAACAGGTACCTCATGCTATCCACCCAGATGTGATGGAACCTTCTGCAGTCTGTCTGGGGGACGCAATATTTCCAAAAGTGCTATTTACTGAATACTAATGGAGTACCGTTTTCGGTCAAACCGCGCTGTTTGATTATAAAAGCTTCGGTTAGATAATGCAGACTGGCCAAAGGGAATCTGTTCGGGCAATTCAGGGAACTCTCATCGGTGATGAGGTAACTTTCTGGCTAGACGGGATGTTTAGGAAGTTGGGTCCGGGTCCAAATCCCGGTCTGAGGTAGCAATATGATTAGTTAGTGATCCCTATTCTAGTCCCATACCGTCGTTAGTCCTACCCAGCTACATATCTCGATAACCAAGGATTCGAACTTGGGTCGGTTAGTCGTTAATCGTTTGAGTTGACGTTTCACCACCCTAGATTCCTAACAGCAAATTTCTGGGCAAAAGCTAGGAGCTTAATTCGAAGGCTTTGCGGGTCCCACCTGCAACATGTAGTGGTTGTATAATTATATGCGTCATGCACACGCTGGGGAGACTAAGGTACTTTCAAGCTGCATCCCTGACCAGGAGAAGGCACCTCTCGGGATTGATGGCTGTCAACTTGAAGGAGTAGGCAGTTTTAAATACCTCGGGGCGAGGCTTCAGCTGAATGGGCAGAGTAAGGATGACATTGTCTCCCAAATTAATACTGCTCGACGGGTTTTATCAAGCATTAGAAAATGTTTCTCGACCTGACGCGACATCTCCATGGCCCCTAAGATTCGCGTGTACCATGCATCTGTCCGGTCTGTCCTTCTCTGCGGTTGTGAATGCTGGACTTCGTGCGTGGAGGACGAGCGAAAACTGGAGGTATTTGACCACCACTGCCTGAGGACTATCCTTTGATTGAAGTTCACCGACTTCGTCTCAAATGAGACAGTCCACGCTCGCTGCGACAACATCGCAACGATAACTCAGGCCATCCAAAAAAGACGACTGAGGTGGTCCGGGCATGTTCTTCGTCGTCCACACCAGGAGCTCAGTGTTACTGCCCTCAATCCGACATCGTTGCCCCATTGGAGGCGTCGAAGAGAGGGTCAGTTCAAAACCTGGCTCGACACAGTTCGTCAAGACATGGAGGTGGTTCTTGGACCTTCGGTATTCGGTCTCCGTCGTTGGCGAAGAGAATGGGTTGAGCTGTCCAGATCTGTTGCCGCGGATCGTCACGCGTGGAGAGGTACAGTTCGGGACATCATCGAGGCCGACTAAATCATGCATGATCGCAGCCGTATCAAGTAAGTAAGTATGACTGACGAGGCCCTCGACTGCTGCGCGCTACAGACGTGCTGGTCAGGTGTGCCGTGCTTCACCCTGACATTTCTCTGGTAATATAATGTTCATACACGTTGGAGGTTTAACCCTGCAGCATTGTTTACTTCTGGGACCCACTTGGCTACGCTATCCTCTCCCGAAATCCACCTAGCTGAGAAGAATGGGAAAGGGTGCGCTCCTTTTTTGAAGATGTCCAGCATCTTCCACCCAACGAATACTCTGAACGCTGTGGCTAGAAGACAGATGGGGAAGAGTCGAAGGCGTCTGTACAGCTGTCAGTGTGACTCTTCTCATTCCGCTCTCATGACGTGGTCTAGGTTGTACTAAGCGATTGAGTAGATACCAGGACAGAATGGCTGCGGCAGAACACACCTTGGGAACTCTAAGCACAAAGTATCTGCCCACAGTTATACATCTGAGGAAGATAAAGCGCATGCTATAGAATTCGTAACTGAAACCACCTCTTCCAGTGTCGTGGTTTAACCATTAGAAAACCGAACCCAACTTGGGCTGGACGCAACTGATCTGTATGGGTGATGATAATGCGTACATGGGCCGTTTCTTCGTTTTTTTACTCTCCTCAAAGGGCATGTCCTAATCGTCCTATTCGACAAAACGATGTCTTGACGAATTGAAAAGCGGTCCGCTGGGTGGATTAGGGAATTGCGGCACGCAGAATTTCAGCAGGAAGGTAGCGTCATGTTAGACGCGATCAGGGAAAGTCTAATGTCCGTACGGCGCCTTCACCAACCAGCGATCAGCACTGTAAGTTTGGAGATGGCTGCACAGAGTGCTGTGAAGGAAGGGGGGAGATTGGAGGTCGATGTGCCGACTAAGGAATCGCGATACGCAGAATTCCAGCAGGTATGTAGCGTCATGTTGGACGCGAACGGACCTTACTGTCAGCCGATCAGGGCAGGTCTAATGTCTGTACGGCGCCTTTACCAACCAGGTTGGAGATGGCTGCACGGAGTGCTGTGCGGGGGGGAGGAGTTGGAGGTCGATGTTCCGATTCACTCGAACCCTCCCCTGTCTGAGCACTGTTGTGTTCGGTTCTTGGCAATAGTAAGATTCCTGAATCACAAGTCTGGGGACAACCTCTTCGAGACTGTGCACAGCTTACCGCTGAGGTAGGTGAAACGAATTTTTAGATGGGGACTGGGGAACGGTAGTCACCTGAGCCAATCATCGATGGAGAAGTTCTCGACCAATGTGGAGCTTGTAATTACGTGCTAGCGGGTTGTATCTTTCGAGGTGACTGAGATGTGCAGGGAGTGGTGAGACCGGGTGTTGAGGTGTGCTTGGTAATATGACTCACTCGCGAAGATGGTGCATCAGCGCGCCGTCGCTCTTCCCGTGGCGGATTGGATTAATTAATTCCGAAAGAATACTGGTAATATAATATTCATACGCGTTGGAGGTTTAACCTTGCATCATTGTTTACTTCTGGGACCCAGTTGGCTACGCTATTCTCTCCCGAAATCCACCTAGCTGAGAAGAATGAGGAAGGGTCCGCCCTTTTTTAAAGATGTCCAGCATCTTCCATCCAACGAGTACTCTGAACGCTGTGGCTAGAAGACAGATGGGGAAGAGTCGAAGGCGTCTGTACAGCTGTCAGTGTGACTCTTCTCGTTCCGCTCTCATGACGTGGTCACGGTTTTACTAACCGATTGAGTAGATACCAGGACAGAATGACTGCGGCAGAACACACCTTGGGAACTCTAAGCACAAAGTATCTGCCCACAGTTTTACATCTGAGGAAGATAAAGCGCATGCTATAGAATTCGTAACTGAAACCATCTCTTCCAGTATCGTGGTTAAACCATTAGAAAACCGAACCCCACTTGGGCTGGACGCAACTGATCTGTATGGGTGATGATAATGCGTACATGGGCTGTTTCTTCGTTTTTTTACTCTCCTCAAGGGGCATGTCCTATTCGACAAAACGATGTCCTGACGAATTGAAAAGCGGTCCGCTGGGTGGATTAGGGAATTGCGGCACGCAGAATTTCAGCAGGAAAGTAGCGTCATGTTGGACACGATCAGGGCAAGGCTAATGTCCGTACGGCACCTTCACCAACCAGCGGCCGGCACTGTAAGTTTGGAGATGACTGCACGAAATGCTGTGGGGGGGTGGGAGGTTGGAGGTCGATGTGCCGATTAAGGAAACGCGATACGCAGAATTCCAGCAGGTATGTAGCGTCATGTTGGATGCGAACGGACCTTACTGTCAGCCGATCAGGGCAGGTCTAATGTCTGTACGGCGCCTTTACAAAATAGTTCGGAGATGGCTGCACGGAGTGCTGTGAGGGGGGGGCTTGGAGGTCGATGCTCCGATTGACTCAAACCCTCCCCTGTCTGAGCACTGTTGTGTTCGGTTCTTGGCAATAGTAAGATTCCTGAATCACAAGTCTGGGGACAACCTCCTCGAGACCGTGCACAGCTTACCGCTGAGGCAGGTGAAACGAATTTTTAGATGGGGACTGGGGAACGGTAGTCACCTGAGCCAATCA